CTACTAAAAAAAAAAAAAAAAAAAACAAGTGGCTCACGCCTGTAATCCCAATACTTTGGGAGGCCGAGGCAGGCAGATCACGAGGTCAGGAGATCAAGACCATCCTGGCTAACATGGTGAAACCCCATCTCTACTAAAAATACAAAAAAATTAGCCGGGCGAGGCGGCAGGCGCCTGTAGTCCCACCTACTCAGGAGGTTGAGGCAGGAGAATGCATGAACCTGGGAGGCGGAGCTTGAAGTGAGTAGAGACTGCACCACTGCACTCCAGCCTGGGCCACAAAGTGAGACTCCGTTTCAAAAAAAAAAATACAAAAGTTCTCTAGGCATGGAGGCGTGTGTGCCTGTAGTCCCCACTACTCGGGAAGCTGAGGCAGAAGAATCGCTTGAACCCGGGAGGCGGAGGTTGGTGAGCCAAGAGTCATGTACTTCAGCCTGAGCAACAGAGCAAGAAGACTCCGTCTCAAAAAAGAAAAACAAAGAAAAAGAAATAAAAGTAACCAAAAATGTGAAGGAGCTATGCAAGGAAAACTCTAAACACTGATGAAACAAACTGTAGAGGACACAGAAAAAAATTGGAAGATATTCCATGCTCATGGATTAGAAGAATATTGTTAAAATGACAATACTACCCAAAGCAATTTACAATTCAGAGCAACCCTTCTCAAAATACCAATGAAATTCATCACAAAAATAGAAAAAAAATCCTAAAATTTATATGCAATCACAAAAGACCTTAAACAGCCAAAGAAATACTGACCAAAAAAACAAAGCTGGAGTGACCGGGTGCGGTGGCTCACGCCTATAATCCCAGCACTTTGGGAGGGTGAGGCAGGTGGATCATGAGGTCAGGAGTTCAAGACCAGCCTGGCCAACGTGATGAAACCCTGTCTCTACTAAAAATACAAAAATTAGCCAGGGTGGTGGTGCGTGCCTGTAGTTCCAGCTACTAGGGAGGCTGAGACAGGAGAATTCCTTGAACTGGGAGGCAGAGGTTGCAGTGAGCCGAGATCGTACCACTGCACTTCAGCCTGGGAGACAGAGTGAGACTCAGTCTCAAAAAAAAAAAAAAAAAAAAAAAGAAAAAAAGAAAAAAGAAAAAAAAAAAAGCTGGAAGCATCCAACTGCTTGACCTCAAAATATACTACAAAGCTACCATAACCCAATCAGTATGGTACTGACATAAAAACAAACACATAGGCCGGACACAGTGCCTCAAGCCTATAATCCCAGCACTTTGGGAGGCCGAGCCGGGCGGATCACAAGGTTAGGAGATCGAGACCATCCTGTAACAGGGTGAAATCCTGTCTCTACTAAAAAAAAAAAAAAAAAAAAAAAAAAAAAAAAAAAAAATTAGCTGGGCGAGGTGGCGGGCGCCTGTAATCCCAGCTACTCGGGAGGCTGAGGCAGGAGAATGGTGTGAACCCAGGAGGCGGAGGTTGCGGTGAGCCGAGATCTCACCACTGCACTCCAGCCTGGGCGACAGCGTGAGACTCTGTCTCAAAAACAAACAAACCAACACATAAGATCTATGGAAGAAAAGAGAGAACCTAAATATAAATCTACACATTTATAGACAGCTCTTTTTCAACAAAGGCACCAAAAGCATACAATGGGAAAATAGCAGTCTTTTCAATAAACGCTGCTGGGAAAACTGAATAACCATATGTAGAATGAACTAGATGCCATCCCTCAGCATAAACAAAGTCAAAACAGAATAAAGATATGCAACACTTGAAACCATAATGCTACTAGAGGAAGAAACTGGGGAAACAATCCAGGACATCGGTCTGGGTAAAGATTTCTTAGGTAAGACCTCAATAGCACAAGCAACAGGAGAAAAAATAAACATATGAGATTACATCAAACTAAAAACTTCTCCACAGCAAAAGAAACAATCAACAAAGTGAAGAGACAATCTACAGTATGGGAGAAAATATTTACAAACTATTCACCTGACAAAGATTAGTAATCAAAATATATAAGGAACTCAACTTGATAAGAAAAAAAAAAAAATCCGATCAAAAAAATCGGCAAAAGCTTAGAAGAGTTGTTTCTCATAAAAAAGACACACAAATGGCCAACAAGTGTACAAAAAAATGCTCAACATCATCATTCTCTGATGGCTAAATATCAGAGAAATACAAATCACACATAACCACAACGAGATGTCATCTCACCTCACAGAATGGCTTTTATAAAGACAGGGAATAACAAGTACTAATGAGGATGTGGTGAGAAGATAATCCTTGTATGCAGTTGATGGGAATGTAAATTAGTACAGCCACTATAGAGAATAATATTCAGGTGTGGAGGCTCATGCCTGTAATCCCAAAACTTGAGGCTGTGGTGGGAGGATCACTTGAGCCCAGAAGTTCGAGACCAGCCTGGGCAACACAGCAAGACCTGTCTGCACACACATGCACACACAAAACCTGTCAGGCACAGTGGATCATGCCTGTAATCCCAGCACTTTAGGAGCCTGAGGCAGGTGAATCACTTGAAGTCAGGAGTTCGAGACCAGCCTGGCCAACGTGGTGAAACTACGTCTCTACTGAAAATACAAAAATTTGCTGGGCATGGTGGCATGCGCCTGTAGTCCCAGGCAGAAGAATCACTTGAACCCAGGAGGCGGAGGTTGCAGTGAGCTGAGATCATGCCACTGCATTCCAGCTTGGGCAACAGTGAGACTCTGTCTCCAAAAAAAAAAAAGAGAGAGAGGTTGATTCATGGGTAAAATACACAGGTAGAAGAAATTAGAACAGGTGTTCAATAGATCAGTAAGGTGACTACATTTAACACTCATCTCCTGTACATTTCAAAACAGTTAAGAGAATAATTTGATGTTCCTGCAATAAAGATAAATATTTAAGGTGACAGATATCCTACTTACCCTGATTTGATAATATAAATGTATCAAATTATCACATGTACTCAGAAAATATGTACATCTATTATGAATCAAAAACTTTTTTTGAATTGTAAAATAGGAAGTGGGAGATTCTGGGGTCGCCATGTCTGTGGGTAAAAATATTCCCTTGTCTGGATCATGTAAAGACATCCCTGCAAGATGTCACTCCAAGTTATTTCACCTAATACCGCCTACCACTAAAAAGGAGCAATGAGCCATGATTATGCCATTGCACTCCAGCCTGGGTGATCCAGCAAGACTGTCTCAAAAACAAAAAAAACAAAAACACCCAGGATGGAGGTTTCTCAAAAAACTAAAAATAGAACTATCAATAGAACTATCATCTGTAGACCTCTTGAATTTTGGAGGCAATATATACATTTGCATGTGCTTGTTTAACGCCCCACAGACTTGCCTGTAAGGATTCTACTAGTTTCAACTGTAGACAAGAGACAAGGCTGCAGTGCAGGCTTCCCAAGCACTTGGTCCACCTGATCAAGCAGACCCAATGATACTCAAAGTGTACATGTTAAACAGCATCCTATTTATTGGAATGCTCTGGCACACACCAACAGAAGATGTAGAGTATAGCCCTCTGGTATTCCAGAGTCAATCCATGCCCTGTTGTGCAGATTAACTGTTTTTCTTTAGAGAAACAGGTTGTGGTTTGCCATTAGCACATGATAGAGAATGAACAACAAATCACGGGACATGAAGTAATTAAGGCAGAACTGAGTAATTTGAGACTTTATGGTTCCCAAAGCATGAAGTACATACTGTCAGACCTTATCAAACAATGGTTGTCAGCTTCTCCTCTGGACCCAATTCCAAGTTTGTAGGAAATCGCATGAAATAAAGGAATATTGGCCGGGCGCGTTGGCTCAAGCCTGTAATCCCAGCACTTTGGGAGGCCAAGACGGGCGGATCACAAGGTCAGGAGATCGAGACCATCCTGGCTAACACGGTGAAACTCCGTCTCTACTAAAAAATACAAAAAACTAGCCGGGCGAGGTGGCGGGTGCCTGTAGTCCCAGCTACTCGGGAGGCTGAGGCAGGAGAATGGCGTAAACCCGGGAGGCGGAGCTTGCAGTGAGCTGAGATCCGGCCACTGCACTCCAGCCTGGGCGGCAGAGCGAGACTCCGTCTCAAAAAAAAAAAAAAAAAAAAAAGAAAGGAATATTTACACACACCACGAGAATCCAATCAGAAATATCTGATTGTATGACTTTCTAAAAAAATGAGTGTTGTTAGGAATAACACTCAAAATCCTAAGGAAGTTGAACACTCGAACAAAGAATTATTAGCAAAGCGATTTTACTTCTGCGCAGGGGGGTGCCTCCTTGGCCAGTCGCCATGAGAGCACACCTGAACAAAGGGGCACGAGAGCCTTTATTCCAGATGCAAGTCCTGCCCCTGTACCTTTTCCACATTGGCCGGGGTTGGGTTGTACAATCTAAACTAATCCCGGTTGGCTAAACATTTGATTTTTTTTAGATAGGGTGGGCACGCAAAAGAAAAACGGAGAGGAAGGAGAAGGGATGTCTGTAATGAGCTAGGAAGTTAGTCCTCTTTCCAAATGAGGAAAAGCATGTGAGCTGGTACTGATAACGTTTGGTACTGTGGTGTGCCTGGGCATCTAACAAAGGCAAAAAGGAGAAAAAAGGAAAAGGGTGAGGGGTACTATGAATTAAAGAATAAAAGATTGATGAGATAATTTGAAGAGAAATCTCATCATACCCCACAGTGTGACTCTCCGAAAGTCAATATAATATACAATTAACTGTTTTAGATAAAAAGACACTGAAAACATTAACAATTTGCAATGTAAAAATGGATACATTTTGAATAGATCTTAGACCAAAAAACATTCAAGAGCATACGTTAAATCAATGCAGAGAATTTTAGTTATTACGCAAAGTAGACATTAGATGACATTATTATTTTTTATTTAAGTGAAATACTAGTATTGTGGTTTCAGAATGACTATGCCTTTTTTTAGGAGATGCTTTACCAAGTATTTAAAGGTCAAGCATCAAGTGTGCAATTATGCTCAATTTACACTCAAATTGTTTACCCTAAGATGTATTTACCTGAGGAGAAAGAAAACAAGCACAATGCTAAAAAAGTAAGTGTCTGGGCACGGTGGCTCACACTTGCAATCCCAGCACTTCGGGAGGTCGAAGCAGATGAATTGCCTTGGTTCAGGATTTCGAGACCAGCCTGGCCAACACCGTGAAACCTCGTGTCTCTACTAAAATACAAAAACAAATTAGCTGGGTGTGGCGGCGTGTGCCTGTGTCCCAGCTATTAGGTGTCAGGCCTCTGAGCCCAAGATAAGCCATCATATCCCCTGTGACCTGCACATATACATCCAGATGGCCTGAAGCAACTAAAAACCACAAGAATCGAAAACACCCAGTTCCCGCCTTAACTGAGGACATTCCGCCATTGTGATTTGTTCCTGCCCCACCCTAACTGATCAATTGACCTTGTAACATTCTTCTCCTGGAGAATGAATCTCAGGAGCTCCCCACTGAGCAGTTTGTGATCCCCGCCCCTGCGGGGATCTCTGTTAAGAGAACAACCCCCTTTAACTGTAATTTTCCACTACTTACCCAAATCCTATAAGACTGCCCCAGCAAAGGAGTCTCCCTTTGCTGACTCCTTTTTCGAACTCAGTCCCCCTGCACACAGGTGATTAAAAGTTTTATTGCTCACACAAAGCCTGTTTGGTGGTCTCTTCACATGGACATGCCTAACACTAGGGAGGCAGAATTACTTGAACCTGGGAAGCAGAGGTTGCAGTGAACCAAGATCGCACCTCTGCACTCCAGCCTGAGTGGCAGAGCGAGACTCTGTTTCCAAAAAAAAAAAATCCAGACTGGGTGTATTAGATGTTCAAGTTTTCCTTAGGATCAAATTTTTCGGAAAAAAACATGTCAAAACTACACTTAGTCCAAATATGCTGCTAATAAATTCAATAGATACTAGAAACTTTACTACACTAATACTAGAATAGTATTCTGATTTTAATAAATAATTCTAGTATCAGCAAAATAAAGCCTCCATCCTGGTGGCCCGGAGCAGAGGCTCACTCCTGTAATTCCAGCTCTTTGGAGGCTGTCGGGTGGATCACAAGGTCAGGAGTTCGAGACCAGCCTGGCCAGCATGGTGAAACCCCATCTCTACTAAAAATACAAAAAAAAAAAAAAAAAAAAAAAAAAAATAGCTGGGCATGGTAGTCCCCGCTACTCGGGAGGCTGCGGCAACAGAATCGGTTGAACCCAGGAGGTGGAGGTTGCAGTGGGCTGAGATCGCTCCACTGCACTCCAGCCTGGGCGGAAGAGCAAGACTCCCTCTCAAAAAAACAAACAAAAGCCTCTATCCTTTCTTCCTGTGGGCCCTGTTTTAAGGCTTGTGGGGGAATACAGGCCTAGGAACTTCAGATGAAGAGAATAACTGTGTATTACTGCCTTTCTTGCCTTTCTTACTGCCTTTCTTACTTTCTTTGAGACGGAGTTGCACTTTTGTCGCGCAGGCTGGAGTGCAGTGGCAGATCTCGGCTCACTGCAACCTCGCCCTCTCAGGTTCAAGCAATTTTCCTGCCTCAGCCTCCCGAGGAGCTGGAATTACAGGGGCCTGCCACCACGCCTGGCTAATTTTTGTATTTTTTACTGAAAATACAGGGTTTCATCATGTTGGCCAGGCTGGTCTCGAACTCCTGACTTCAGGTGATCTGCCTGCCTCCATCTCCCAAAGTGCTGGGATTTCAGGCGTGAACCAGCACGCCTGGCCTGCCTCTCTTCTGTAGAAAGGATTCTAGCTGGTAACAACAACAAAAAATTAAGTCCAAGAAAATAAAAATAAGAAACTAAAGGCTTACAGTCTACACGTGTTCATATTTACATGCAGAAATAGGCACGCCCTAAACGACTATATTTTTTTCCATCCGAAAGTAATGAGTCAAAAATAAGTAAAGGACATCAAGATAATGCCAGATTCTCAGACGATACATTTTATAGCAAAGAAATGGAAGTCAGAGCCCTCTTGAAACCAATTTTCTGCCGGTGCTCACCAGAAACACGCCGGAATCGCCAGGTTCCTGAGGCGGGGGGATGCGGGGCCGCAGCCAACCTGACTGGAACGCAGAAATCCTTTTACTTTCGGAAAGAAAAAAAACTCGCAAAGGTTGCTTTCCAAGCTTTTGAAGAGGGGAGCACAGCGGTTGAAAGCACTCCAGAAAACACCGCGCGGAGGCGGGACAAACACACTTCCCGACCTGGCTCCTGACCGGGACCGACTGAGCCTGCGGCCTCTCGCAACTGGCCGCGCTGGGAGGACCGACAGCCCCTGGAAAAGACAGTGAAACGAGGCGGATCCCAGAGGCTCCTGGGCGACTGCGCCCAATCGTTCCTTTGCCACCCCCGCTACTATCTCAGGGATCCCCAAGCAGGCGGAACTCACCACAGCAAAGGTGGACACCACCACGATAAAGGCGAAATGGCACTGACCATGCGGAGCCAGCGCCGGAAAAGATGGCGATGGCGCGCTGACGTCACTTCCGCTCGGAGTCTGGGCCCGGGCGGGGCTCCTGGGTTCAAGTTTCAGCCACGTAGGACCCAGTCCAACACAGAAATTCTAGTTTCTTCCCGGGTGGGTGCGGACAGGCCTGGGGCTAGCTCAGGGAGGGGGATCCAGAAACAGGTCCAGAGCAAAAGGTGAGGTTAGAACCGGGCCTCCGGAAGGAACTGTGGGCGAGGGGTGGGGCCCATACTCGGGGGCGATTTAGAGGTGGGACCAGGCCTAGCCATCAGCTCAGGTGGCCAGACCCACTGGAAGGGCGGGGATGGGGGATGGGGCGCACCCTAGGGGAAGCTCCTGCAGAGCTTTTCCCTGTTGCCCGCGGTGGCTAATGCCTGTGATTCCAACACTTTGGGAGACTTAAGGCACGTGTATATAGCTTGAGTCCAAGAGTTCAAGACCAGCGTGGGCAAAATAGCAACATCCTTTCTGTGGGCGGCAAGCCACCCAGGTGCTAAGGCAAGAGAGCAAGGCATGAGCTGTTCCGGTATAATAAAATATATAAAATAAGAATAGTTATACTAGATATAGATCATAGATATGATTATATACGAATATAATTAATCATTAGTTTGTAGCAATTACTCTTTATTCCAATATTATTATAATCCTCGCTCTATAATCATAACATAGGAAAAACCAGGCCATACAGAGATAGGAGCTGAGGGGACATAGTGAGAAGTGACCAGAAGACAGGAGTGTGAGCCTTCTGTCATGCCCGGGCAGGGCCACCAGAGGGCTCCTTGGTCTAGTGGTAACGCCAGCATCTGGGAAGATGCCCATTGCCAAGCAGACCGTGGTCTAGCGGTAGCATTAGTGTCAAGGAAAAACACCGGCTACTTAGCAGACCCGGAAAGGAAGTCTCCCTTTCCCCGGGGGAGTTTAGAGAAGACTCTACTCCTCCACCTCTTGTGGAGGGCCTAACATCAGTCAGGCCCGCCCACGGTTATCCGGAGGCCTGTCTCCCTATGATGCTGTGCTTCAGTGGTCACGCTCCTAGTCCGCTTTCATGTTCCATCCTGTATACCTGGCTCTGCCTTTTAGATAATAGTAGCAAAATTAATGAAGGTACTAAAAGTCTGATATGCAGAAATAATGGTGTAAGCTGTCTCTCTCACTCCCTCTCTCTCTGCCTCGGCTGCCAGGCAGGGAAGGCCCCCTGTCCAGTGGACACATGACCCACGTGACCTTACCTATCATTGGAGATGGCTCACACCCCTTACCCTGCCCCTTTGTCTTGTATCGAATTAATATCAGCACAGCCTGGCATTCGGGGCCACTACTGGTCTCCGCTTCTTGGTGGTAGTGGTCCCCCGGGCCCAGCTGTCTTTTCTTTTATCTCTTTGTCTTGTGTCTTTATTTCTACAATCTCTAGTCTCCGCACACGGGGAGAAAAACCCACCGACCCTGTGGGACTGGACCCTACACCATTCTGTATTAAAAAATATATGTGTGTATAGCTTTTTTGTATATATCTCCTCATGTTCCTAGAGCCTTTCCACAATTCTTCCATATTGATAAACCTGCCAGTCCATGGCATGGTCTAACTCTTCTATTCAGTCATGCTTTCTATAGGCCTTTATTTCTTCATTCTTTCTTTCTTTATGTATTTATTTGAGATGGAGTCTCACTCTGTCACCCAGGCTGGAGTGCAGTGGCACGACCTGGGCTCACTGCAAGCTCCGCCTCCCAAGTTCAAGCAATTCTTCTGCCTCAGTCTCCCGAGTAGCTGGGACTACAGGTGCCCACCACCACACCCAGCTAATTTTTTGTATATTTAGTAGAGACAGGGCTTCCCCGTGTTAGCCAGGATGATCTTGATCTCCTGACCTAGTGATCCACCTGCCTTGGCCTCCCAAAGTGCTGGGATTACAGGTGTGAGCCACCACGCCTGGCCAAAAACAAGTATTTCTATTATTTTTCTGACCTTACCACATGGGCCAGGACCACATTTCCTACATTATAAAATAGCATTGACACCAGACATTCTCCCCAGGTTTATTCAGAAATGTAACATAATCCCAATAAAAACATTAAAAGTTTTTTCTGGAGTTAGGTACATTGATACTAAAGTTTATGTGGAAGAACAAACATCTGATAATAACCAAGAAAAGAAAAACAAAAGCAATGATGAGCAGCAGACGTTAAAACATACTATTGACAGTTTTCACACAAGGCAAATAATTAAATTATATTAAAATAAGACATACTATAAAGCCTCTATAATTAAAACTATGTGGTACTAGCACATGAAGCAGAAACAGACTAATAAAATGTCTAAAAATAGACCCAAGAACACGTAGAAATTTGGTTCATAAATGTATTTTGCCAAGTGCGGTGGCTCATGCCTATAAACCTAGCAATTTGGGAGACCAAGGCAGGAGGATCACTTCAGGTCAGGAGTTCAAAACCAGCCTGCCCAACATGGTGAAACCCTGTCTCTATTTAAAATACAAAAAAATTTAGCCAAGCGTGGCCGGGCATGGGGGCTCACATCTGTAATCCCAGGCCGAGGCAGGCAGATCACAAAGTAAAGAGATTGAGACCATCCTGGCCAACTTGGTGAAACCCCGTCTCTACTAAAAATACAAAAATTAGCTGGGTGTGGTGGCGGGCACCTGTAATCCAGCTACTCAGGAGGCTGAGGTAGGAGAATCACTTGAACCCGGGAGGCAGAGGTTGCAGGAGATCGCTCCCCTGCACTCCAGCCTGGCGATACAGCAAGAATCCATCTCAAAAAAAAAAAAAAAAAAAAAAATTTAGCCAAGCATTGTGGTGGGCGCCTGTAAGCCCAGGTACTCCAGAGGCTGAGGCAAGAGAATCGCTCAAACCTGGGAGGCAGAGGTAGCAGTGAGCCTAGATTGCGCCATTGCACTAGAGCCTGGGCAACAGAGCGAGACTCCATCTCAAAAAAAAAAAAAAAAAAACAGGCCGGGTGTGTTGGCTGACACCTGTAATTCCAGCACTTTTGGAGGCAGAGGTAGGTGGATCACCTGAGGTCACAAGCTAGAGACCAGCCTGACCAACATGGAGAAGCCCCGTCTCTACTAAAAATACAAAATTAGCCGGGCATGGTGGCACATGCCTATAATCCCAGGTACTCGGGAGGCTGAGGCAGGAGAATAGCTTGAACCCAGGAGGCAGAGATTGCGGTGAGTGGAGATCGTGCCATTGCACTCCAGCTAGGGCAATAAGAGCGAAACTCCATCTGAAAAAAAAAAAAAGTGGCATTTCAGATAAATGGGACAAAAAATGCCATTTGTAATGAAAGGTCTAAGATAACTGGTTAGCTGTCTGAGAAAAGATGAAATTAAATCCATACTTCACAGCATATACAAGAATAAACTCCAAATGGACTAGGGATCTAAATGTAAAGAATAAAACCATATACGCATTTAGGGTGTTCAAGTGATTTCTTGGCTGAGTAAGGAAAAAGATGTGACCACAAGGCGGCAGTAGCACACAAGCTTTATTTGGGATGTGCTTTGACAGGTTACCATTGGGGGAGGTAGCAAACAGCAAGAGAGTATCCACAGGCTTCTTCTACCTGTGGGTCGCTGCTCAGAAAGGATGGAAAGGAAGAGAGACTCCCAGAGGAGAAGGGGAATCAAAGAGGGGGCTTATAATGACTAAATGACAATACTCACCAGACTGGCATCATATCTTCCAGTTAAAAAGCTCTGAAGGATAAGTCTGGCCAACATGGTGAAACTCCGTCTCTACTAAAAATACAAAAATTACTTGGGTATGGTGGCAGGTGCCTATAATCTCAGCTGCTTGGGAGGGTGAGGAAGGAGAATCGCTTGAACCCAGGAGGTGGAGGCTGCAGTGAGCCGAGATTGTGTCACTGCTCTCCAGCCTGGGTGACAGAGCAAGACCTTGTATCCAAAAAAAAAATAGCTCTGAAGGACAGCAGGGGTATAGGGTTTTCATAGCTCTGAAGTTATCTTATCTATGGCTATCAGATATTGGACATAATTTCAGAGACTACAAAGCAGGCACACTTGAAATGACTCTCAACAGTTTTGGATATATATGCCAAAGTGAAATATCTGGATCACATAGTAATTCTGTTTAATCGTTTTTGTTTGTTTTTTGTTTTTGAGACAGGGTCTCACTCTGTTGTCTAGGCTGGAATGCAGTGATGTGATCATGGCTCACTGCAGCCCTCAACTTACTGGGCTCAGGTAATCCTCCCACCTCAGCCTCCCAGGTAGCAGAGATTACAGGGGCATGCCACCACCATCCTTGGCTGAATTAAAAAAATTTTTTTTTGGCAAAGACCAGATCTCACCATATGCCCAGGCTGGTCTTGAAGTCCTAGTCTCAAGGAATCCCCTTGAGATTTTCATGATGTTTACTGACATATTAATTATTTGAAGAGAAATTTTGAATTCATATTCAACAACTTCCTCCTCTTGCTTTTTTTTTTTTTTTTTTTTTTTTTTTTTTTACGGCTTTCTCTTCAAACTTATTTAACATGTCTTGACTTAGTTGTTCTGTTTGATTTTCCAAAAGAAGAAGCTTCTCTGGATAAGGTGGAAGATAGTTAAAGGAGGTTTTAGTAAGTGCTGTTTCTATGAACCTCTGCACCAACCTATGGATGTATGGTGTGACACAGCACCTGACAAAAATAAGTACCCCCATTATGGCTACGAGGGAGTTAAGAATTGAGGCTATTATTCCTTTCCATTTACAGAACCATTTTTCTAGCCATACTGTAAAGGGGTCATTTACCCCTGAGATGCTGGCCAACTCATTGGATAGAGCAGTCAGACCTTGCAATGCCTTTGTTATACTTCCATTAGGGGCGGTGTCGTTTGGGATGAAGGTGCAACTTTGAGTGTTTGTTTGTTTGTTTGTTTGTTTTTGAGACA